AAATTGTCCCTTTCCAAATGTGAATCTATGCCTAATCTCAAAATATTAGGACAAATAAATAATCAGGGTCAAGCAGAAGTTGATTGGTCAAATAAATATGTTCGAGATAAGTTTCAAGTCCTTGTTGAAACATACACTGTGGATATAAATTGCGAAGGTCATGGAATAGAATATGATGTAAGATATATATTTCAAAATTTTAACAATACAAACAAACATAGACAAAATTTTTAACAGATGGAATCCGAACCAACAACATTGTCATATCCTAAATCTTTTTATAAAGAGGAAGTTGAAAAATGCAATGAAGAGAGCTCTGATTCATCTGCAAATAATGCTAATTCTTTAAAAATTGTAATATCTTGTCTACTAATTATTAAATATTTTTTCTAAGCATTTCATTGTTAAGATTACTCATTCAATTATCTAAAATGAACTCTTTGATCTATAAATAAAATTTCTTGTCAAAAAATGATTCATCACTTATCATTTTGAAGAGAATTTAATAGGGCATTACCCAATTGTTTGTAATATCAACAACTGCAATATTTCAGAAAAGTGATATAAAAATGATATTCAATTAAAATTGTAAAATTTTGCTGAATTACAATTCACAAAAACATTCAATTAAATGAATTTTATGGTTTAAAAGCAAAACTTCAGTGCAAAGTATGCTTTAACAAATTAGCAAATGCATTGCTCTTACCCTGCTGTCATTTTGTTACTTGTAAAGAAAACTTGTTAAGTCTTCTGAAACCTGAATATTGCAGAGGATTTATCAGAGGATACGCAATTATTAGATCGGATGTGGACAATTTAAACATCAACTTTAGTGAAGAAGAAAGCTAATAGATAAGGTTGACTTATTCAGAATAGCAATAGTCAGATATTCCTTATCAAAGATGAGTTCTTTAATATTTAATGGATTTCAATTATGATCAAACACTAAATTTATTTCAAACGATATTTGAGGACTTCAAGGACTACAAAGTTTCAAGGATTTTTGCTGCAAGAGAAATAATACATAATTACTGAATTCAAACAGAGAAAAACTGCAACAAAACCAAATTTGTTTACTCTTAGTGCATTTTTCTTTAGGATACATCATTATAAACATAGGATTTGCAAGTGACTTTAGTAACAATATCAATTTGTAAACAATCTTTAAAATGCACAAAAAACAGTTACAAATGAAAAGCTTAGCATTGATGGATTTTAGCATTTCTTTTTTATGAAGATGAAAAGAACTGTTCAATTTCTTTTGACTCAATTTTAGTACATGAATATTGTTTAGATATATAATGTCTTCAAGATTTAACTCTAAAAAAAGTGCTCTTAAAAAAACTATTGGAAATCTTCAGACAATAAGATAAAAAAATTCTACTTTCTTTTCTATTTTCACTCAATAGAGATAATGTTGAAATTTATGAAATAAGTTGAAGTTAAGAGTGGAAAAAGCTTACAAATAATTTGAAATGACAGATAAAAAGATTAATAATAAATTTTAATGTCAGTAACTTTAATTTTTTCTAAAACAATGTTTCAACAAACTTTTAGTCTCTCTGCTTTGTTCTTGATTAAAATTACAACCAGTTAAATGAAGACTTTTCAAAGTGTTTGTTCAACTTTGAAGTCCTTCACAAATATTTAAAAATTCATTTCTCATATTTAAATTCCATGATAGATTTATTGTTTCAATTGTGGAACAACATATCAGCAACTTACCTAAGTCTTTACTTGTATTCCTGTTAAAACAAATGCCTTTAAGATGTATATTTACTCTTTTATTTCTTGATTTTATTGGGGTCCACAGAAAATGTTCTTAAATGCGAAATTTCAAGACTAAATTTTGGATTAAGAAATTGTTAGCAAGAAGAAGAGAGCAACTGAATCTTCAAAAACATAACAAGTGGTATGTGTTTGATAATGTTCAATTTTCTCAGGCTATAGAAATTTACAGTGTCCGGGTTTTATTGTCGACCACTTTATATTTTGTATATGCACCACACAACACATAAGTGGGTCAACACTTCTTATCTCTATCAGAATATAATAATATAATATTTAAATATTTCAAAGAATGGGAAGAATATTCAATTCCAATGTAAATATAAAATACTCTTGACATGATCACACGGAATTGACTTAATTAGCATGGGGGTTTCACATGTAAAGAAACTACTCCTTTGGTCATACTTTATCACCATAGATTGATTAAAATGGCAAATAAGGCCAAACAGAATGTACATGACAACAACCACAAACCATAAATCCGAAATTTGATAAGCAGAGTTACATTATGTAAAATCCCAAAAGTGATGGGACAACTCCCAGTGAAAAAAAAGTGGATTTGCACATGCAGAAGATGTCCAATAATATCCGGATATGTGCACCAGAGAAAAGACTATTGGTACTGAAACCTGAAAAAATCCCCAACACATAAAAAACACCACATGACAGGGTCATATTACTAACCAATCCACAGAGCATGGTTGTGCACAACCCAGTCAGGGCCAGTTTAAATTGGACCCAGTTAATAGGAGATAATTATTTTTTAAATATGCATTAAACTGATAGTGATAATAGTTTTAGTTTCTTTAAACATATTTAATATAAAGTTTTTATAAAAAAAACTATTTGCTGTAGATTGATCATGTTCCATCCAGCAATTGGTCTGTATTTATCTCTCCATTTCTAATTTATTACATAAATCAAATATTCTACTTTCCAGAATCTGATAGCATTTCTTTTGCTACTTGCATATTTTATTTTCATTAAACAATTTTTGGTAGACTAGGATCATTTCAGCTTCACATTGAAGGGCATCTATCAGTTTGCAAAATGAGCAGTTGGTTTCCACTTTTGAATTGAGTCTTCTATGAAATGTTCCACAATCATTGTTTGCTCTAATCACCAATCCATATACAGACCATCTGTAAGGACACCATAAATTATTTTTCCTACATGAAAATGTCTGTTGATTTGATAATTTGACAAGGAATGAAAGGCAAAGCCATTATTTTCCTATAATACAACTCTGAGAAGGAAATAACAGATCTCTAATATATATTTCTCCAGCAGAAGAAAGAAATGATTTCTAATTTTGATTGAAATACCACAAGGTAAGAGAAGTCATTGCTGTGTGTGACACAGGAGCATTTATGTCCTTTATTTTAGAAAAAGAAATCATGGTAATGAATTGTAAAGTTTTCAAGAAATAAACATCTGGATGATTGAATAATACTACAGCTGATGGAAAAATTTAATGCAGAGAGGAAAAGCGAAACTGAATGGTCAGTTTGCTGGAGAAACAGTGGAACCGAAAATTATCATATATCCTGGGCGACTTTTGTTGATTCCTTGTTAATAGAATGATACATTACTTGATTGTTAAAAGTTGTGTATTGTAATAAAGTTTAAGTGTAAAATACAATAAAAGTTGAATTTTATTGAAAAATTTTTTTCAAAAAGGTTAATTTTAAGATGAAATTGTTAAAAACAGAATAGTTAGAAAAGTCTAGTAATTATATAAGTCTAAACTATTGGTTTGGAAGGACATTTTCAAAAACATTCATAGTTTTGTATAGATATTTTGATATTTCAAATGGTTTTAAAATATCATCAACATCAATCAGCCAGCATTCTTCTTTGTTTCTTTCCACTTTTTCTCCCTTTATTAACTTGTTATCAATTTCAATTGAAATTGACTTTGATCCAACATTCCTATCAGATTGAACTTCTGAGTGAAATATATATTTCTTTTTTCCAATATCACCAATAAGTCCATCCATTTTTTTATAATCTTTAGGTGATAGTTTAAAACTTACATCCAAGTGAATTTCTGATAAAGAGTGTATAGATTTCTGTATTTGAATTATTTTTCCTGGATTTTCAAAAGAGTTTATAAAGATAAGATTTCTGGTGATGTAATATTCAAATCGTTTTGATTTAAAAGTTATCTTTTGCATATCATCTGTCCAGTTTATTATTTGTCCATTATCAAGAATGAGATAATCAGTCAAAGCAGTTATTCTACCAGAATCAAATTTTATAATAATCCTATGCATGTAGTAGTCATCATTAAGCTGTCCATAAACTTGCATTCCACTTAAAGTAAAACCAGCAATGTATAAATATTCTTCAGGTGAACCAGTGACATCATAACATATAGACTTTGTTGTCAGAGCTGGATAATCCACAACAATTTGTTGAAAATGTGGATCCCCAGATGCAGAAGACCATGGATCACTATTAGGTGTAAAATAAATTGGAATATCAATGCTGAATACAAAAGAGTCAACTGTAGCACAAGTTAATTTCATCAATGCGGACTTTGCTGAACCAAGTTTAGTTACTACCACAGTATCGTCAGAATACATAGAGAAAATTTTTTCCAATTTATCTTTACTTGCTTTATCAGGATTAGGGAGGGTATAACTAAAAAAACAAAAGATTCACATTAACTCTATGCATTCTTTTCTCTGAGATTATTCATGGAAAATATTTTGTTCATTTACAAAATGTTAAAAATAATGCTTACTTGCAATTCAATTGTGAACGTAAATTAATCATGTCAACTTTTCTTGATGATGATTCCATACTTGAGATTTCGGCCTTGATGGAAAGGTCAATTTTTTTGTGATAATCTAGTTAAAAAATTTAAATAAATTTGTATTGTGTTAAATTTTTGGAAAAAGTATAGAATTCCATACTAAGTAATAGAGATTTTAAGTCAAAAGAAACAGAGTCCATTCCTTCAGTGCATGTAAAACTATGAGTAATTATCTTGGATTCAGTTATATTTTTGAAGATATCATATGGGATTCTATACTCGTCACTTAGATTTAGATTTACAGATGATCTATAAAGTTCAGTTCCATCTGGTTTTGTTGTTTTGCAGCTAAAATAAATATTAAATCAATAAAATGAAGCAAATTTTTGCTGAATTTGCAACAAACCTGCATATTGGTGATCCTAAAATTTCTGATAGATAGACAACCGTGTCATAGTTTTTAGAAATTGTACTGGTAAATAGTGCCAAAAATTGAAATGCACTTATACTACCTATAAAAAAGTGACATCAGCAATGGTGTGTAAATGTAATTGCTGTTTACAAACCAAAGATGCTAAGAAACACCAATGAAAGAAAAAACGAATTTAATTTACTCTCTATTTCCTCTATTTTCTTTCTTTCTCTGCCTTTAAATGCACAATATATATATTTATATTTATATGTACATTGGAACAAAGATACTTCTATTACAAAATGGGTTGTTTTGAAAAAAATTAATGAAAGCTGTCAGAAAATAATTTTTATCAATAATTTTTTAGAAAATAAAAAAACATTTTTTAATAAATTTTTGTCATTTTCTGAAATGACAAAAATTTAACATTCATTCAGTAAATCTTTTTATGGTAGGAAATGCCCTTAATTCCTTTATGAGAATTATACAACAGACATCTATTTAAATACAATGATTTATTGTCTGATATCTTAAACTAAAAAACAAAATCTCCAGAATGGCATACTGAGACAAGACTTTTATTATATTGCATTGACAATGGATTTCTCTCATATTGAATTTTTATGTGAAACAGCAAGACCATTGACCAGGACAATCATGATCATACCTGTGTCTATCTGCCCCCCGCCCCTAAACTTTTATAACAATATTTCCCTCTTTAAACATCTTTAAACAAAATCATTTCATTGGATTACTAAACCTGACCAAACCTGACAATAGAAGCCTTCAGGAGTCATCTAGCCAACTTCACCTAGATATTATAATCAGAAAGAACAAAAGTGGGCATATTTCACATTTAGCATTATCAACAATATCTGTATAAGCATCTGTAAATTCCCAACAAAGAGCACTTCCTTTTAATAAGCAATTGCGAAAGATCTTTCACCTCTTTTGTGAAAAACCTCAACAAAGATTCATTGTAATGAAAGTATTAATATATATTTAGATTGCATGTAACAGAAAACATCCATAAAGCAGTGCTTTTACCCTAACACTAACCCAGCCCTTGGATGTACCTAACCTTTTCCATTGCCCCTAACCCTTAGAGGAGACCCTCCTAACCACAAATCAGTTGCTGTCTTCTTGTGCCCAGCCATTTCTCAATCCAAAATCTAGTCTTGAAATGTCTCATTTGCGAACGTTTTCTGTCGACCCCATTCATTACTCGTTAAGTGTATTGCTTCTATTTTTGAATATTTTTTCAAAAAATTTCTGTGGCCTGTCCAATGGGTAATGAACAATGTAATAAAGAATAATAAGTTTGAATGATACAACATCATATCAATGACAAAGATTTGGCAGCTTGCCATGATAATATTGCTAATTATGCTTTTCCTCGTGTTTTTTTAAAAGTTTCAGGATGGCATACTCTTCACAATCTGAATGGGTGGACTATTTCTGTTGCATCCGTAATGAACATGTGAGAAATGCAATTTTTGATATTGGTGAAGGACTTGAACAATCATTAGAAACACATTTATTTATTTGGAGCGGTGTGATATGAAAGCAGAACATTGCATAAAACTTGGAAGTCTTTTAAAAAAATGTTCTAAAATAAAAACAATAGATTTAAAATCGAATTTTTAAATGTTTGATGGATTTTTTGATATTTGCGAAGGACTTGAACAACCATCCTAAACTTTGAAGGTTGTTGATGTTAAAAACTGCAAATTAGATGAAGAACAGTGGACAAAGTTAGCATATCTTCTTAGAGAATGTTCAAAAATAGAACAAATGGATTTAACATACAATAAATGTAAGGGAAATGGATTTTTTGATCTATGTGATGGATTTGAACAATCATCACAAACACTAAAGTTAATTGATGTTAATAACTGCAATTTGAATAAAGAACAATGCACAGAGTTAGGAAATCATCTGAAAAAATGTTCTAAAATAGAAAGAATATATTTATCATACAATATAAATGTGAAAAATGGATTTCTTGATATATGTGAGGGACATGAACAAACATCCGAAACATTGAAGAATTTATTTTTCAACTCTGAGAACAACCACTAAAAATGTTGAAGGTTTTTTATGCTGATGCTAGCAAAATTTTCTTAATAAATGTTAAAAATAGAATACTTTTAGTATTCAGTCATTTATTTTCTTTTTTCAACAATCAGTGTTTAAGAGTGAAGCAAGGACTATAATATTGTTTGCCACTGTACAAATGAATTAATAAAGCAACCTTTAACTGGAAATAATTACATGTTATATTCAGTCAGGAGAAAAATAAAAGGAGGAATCATGTCCAATTAATGCATGTTAAGTAGAACAGTATTGTGTATACAATATTGTGGAATAGTGAATATAATCTAAACTTAGAATTGAAGCATAATTCATTTTTAATTCAACTGCTTTTAGTTCAAATTCATAAATTTATAGATTAATAAATTGTAATAGTAATGCTAGGTTGCAAATAGCAGTATTCTGCTTATTGTAGCATTGTTTAGATTCTTGGGTAGGAAATGATCTTAGAATATTTCCTTGTCAACATACCTTTTGTTTCAAATGTGTACAAGAATTACCAGTTGATAATAATCAAATAACCTGTCCTGTTTGCAGAAAAATGGTTAAAATACCTCTTGACCAGTTTGATCAACTACCAAAAAATCGACTTCAACATTTGATAGGTTGTCAATAGAAATCTTAGGACTGAATGAAAATATTGGAATTGGTGATGGAAACTTTAATATTTCCGAAGCACTACAAAAATCTTCCAATACACTGAAAGTACTTGGCTTAAGTTCATGTAATTTGAATGAAGAACAAAGCCAAAATCTGGAAAATTTTTTTATAATGATATATCAATACTTAGACTTTAGATATAAGGGTATATTTGAAAGACTTCTATTTCATAGGAATAGAAAAGCTTTTAGTACTTTAGAAAGAACTCTATTTCGTAAGAAATAGACTCTTTGACTGTAACAGATGGTGGATACTTGGGAATTAACAAAGGAACAAAGAACATGGAAAAGATGCAGGTCAAACACCAGATGCTGATGAGGCAGGCCTGTTTACTGTGGCACATGTTTGGCATGTGGCCCTAATCTTAGGATTATATTTTGTATGTGTGATATAACAGTCTTTCATATTTTTGTTACATGAGAATTATGAGACTGTCAGATTTCAACTTTGTAATCCTTTGACCACTTGAACCCAAGCTTTGGAAATGTATAAAGGAAATGCTTTTCCCCAGCTTGTCAGTTCAGTTCTTTAAACATTAAATGGTTGTTTAAACTTACTTGTTTAGAACTAGAAACTCATTTACTCAATACATATTCTTTAAACAAAATACTGCAATTTTGTTGATTAACTTCTGTAGAAATTACATTTCTTAAGACTACTTGTGGATAAATTTGAAAGGTTCTATTTGGATCAGTACTTTGGTAAGTTGATAAATGATTGGAAAGGATGAATACTGTTCTGAAGAAGCAGAAATTCCTACAATTACAATACAACAAAGTACACCTGTAAACAACAAGGCTCTAACCCCAGATAAGGATTGTTCAGAGCAAACAGGGTCAAAGGTTATCATATTTTGCAATAGTGATGTAAACAACAACAACTTTGTGTAATTTACCTCTCAAGGGTCAATTGTTACATCATATTTATGTAAATAAACACTTGTTGTTGTTGTCAACATGTTTGATTATGTAATATCTTATCCTTTGCCTATAAAAGGGGTTGATTCTGGAAGTTGGGTATCTCTATCTCTGTCTCCAACTGTCATGTTTTATGAATAATTCTCTATGCCAGACTGAAAATATTAAATGTAATTAGTGAATAAATAAAAAATAATATTATTGAACACATCTAGAAAACAAGAATAATATTTTGATTTGAAATGAGTATTGGAAAGGTATACTTACAATTATTCAAAATGGCTGAAAAATATTTTTCAAATAAATTGGATTTTTTCACAAAATTAAAAAACATGTATTGAAAATATGAATAAAACATTAATCTAGATTACAATGCACATGAAATTACCTCTGTTACATCTAAAATGATAATCTTTGCCCAAATATAATTATCAAAAAAGGCTTGAGTTTCAAATTAAATTCTTTCCAAAGTGAAAGTTAACTTCAGTTTCTTCATTTTTAAAATGGCTGTCAGTTTATATTTCAACAGTGTTTCTATTTTTGTAGCTTCCATTATTATAATTCTAAATAATAACATTAAAAAAATGTAATATTTTTATGGATACAGTTTCACCCTTCATGAGTACGGTTTCACCCAGGTACAGTTTCACCCGCTACCAAACCCCAAGTGGACAGCCCATCAGGTATTATATAACTCTGACATATCTCTATCTCTGTCTCCAACAACAGTGAAGCAAATACTAAGGAAAAATAATTTAAATGGGAGGATTGCAGCCAAAAAACCTGCCTTATCCAAGAGGCAGATAATAAGTAAGAAAAAGCTCTGTAGAGAGAGATCTAGCTTTAGTGTCTAACTGCATGACAGCTTCAGATTATATCAAAATTTTGAGCAGTCATGTTGTCCCAAATTATAAGAGAGGGGACATTTTCCAGCAGGATGGGGTTAGCTGTCATACAGCAGCCAGAACAAAAGCATACCTCATGAGAAAGCAAGTGGACACACTGGATCCATGGACAGTAAACAGCCCAGACCTGAACATTATTGAGTGAATATGGGGCTTTTGTAAAAAAATGATTAATGGCAGTAAGCCAAGAAACAAGGATGAGCTGTGGGGATGTTCAGAGAGGAATTTTTAAAAATTTTAGAATTGAAAATTCAATTCTTATACAAGACAATAGAAAGAAGGCTTAGGGCAGTTGTAGAAGCTAAGGGTATGCACACAAAATACTAAAACATTAACACATATAATATCCTGTTAAATAACAGTAAAAATAAGAACAAAAAAATTACTTTTAATATTCTTTTAGATTAATTTTTGTGATTGTAACAAGTACTTATGCTCCCATTGAAAATAGGCCTACCACATTAAAATATCAAAAATTTAGAGATTTGAAATTAAAAATGTATATTTTCTCTCTAGAATGATAAGAATATCATTAAATATAATAATATCCTTCATTTTCATTCCTTAAGTATGGAAAGAGAAAAAAATCAAGAAAATATAATTTTTTTGAGGTATAACAGTGACTTACCACTGGTACTGTATATTGAAGAAAGAAATTTTTAAAAAGAATACCTGTCCTTGAGATTGAAAAAATGGAATATAATGGACACATAAGGCATTTTATCTTTGGATATGCAGTCACCTAGATTGTTAAGTTTATAAATTAGATTTTACT